TCAATATTTTGCCGCAATCCCTATCATACCGCAGCGAGAGCTTTCGCGAGCAATACTCTCGGCGATGCTAGATATGCGCGCGCCTGCGTTACAATAAACTATTTATATTTGTAATAAAGAGAAATGCATTGTGAAAATTTCATTCCGTCGTCGATAGAGCCGCATGGTTAAGCTATCGTGAGAACTCTATTTTGTTTGCAACCATTCTCCCTCGTGGCGAGCGTTCGTAATGCTACGCAAACGTGTGCACGGTGTAGACGCAAACGCGTCTGGAACTCATTATTTTGGGGTGTATCTACATGACCTCAACACGCACTTTGTTATAAGTACTAGTAGCAGTGTTTGGATGGAAAACAAACGTCGTGCAAAGTTGTGACCTTGACAAGTTTGGACGGTGCGAGATCGGTGCGGACGAATTTACAGCACTTAACTCACCAGTCCCAAACAATATTTCGGGTGAAGTTACACCATCGCACGTGTTATCCCCACATGCGATAACGGGCAATCTCGTCCTCGAACCTCTACTGCGGAGCCGTGTTTGGTCTCAAATAGTTCTATGAAGGATTCTAGCTGGCAACTTTCGCTGTTTTTGATTGCTGAGTAGCCTACCTTCAGCGTGCAGTGAAGAATTGTTGCGTACAACTTTTATTATTTTGCCACATTAAACGGTGAATCCTAGACCAATTTTATTAGATCGCGTTCAAGGAATTCGTTATGAACGTGTTTAATGTCTCTGTCTACTTTTTTCTGCCTAGCTTCCACTGTAACATCCACGTAGATATTTTTTCATACAAAACCCCCGAGACTGGGGGGAAGGAAGGACAACACAACACGAAGCACATGCATTGTGCAGACATTTTTGTTTATTTCAGCTCTGTTGAAACTCATGAGCAGTGCAGTAAAATATAATTAATGTAATTGGGTTCACGCAAATGCAAAGCACAAATAGTAAATATGGGAAGAGCCCAACTTTGTTACAATTTAATTGAACTGCCACATGTCATGATATGTATGCAGTTTGTGTATCCATGGTAGTAAAGGTATGAAGAAAGTGTCTTGGATAAGACAACGCAGATTCTTTATATTTTTTTATTCAAGATCTTTTTAGGAAGTAATCAATGTTGCAGTCGATCAAGTCATCCCACAGGAGATTAGGAGAATATGCTTAAAATAAAGGATAACACAAAGAGAAACAGCTACTAGGGTGAGCTAGAGGGGGAGGTGTGCTCATTGCCTACTTCGCTCCATTTTAGTGATCCAGGATAGAAGGGTGAAGAAGAGCACCCACAGGCATCACTTCCAGCCTACTATGCCAAAGCAGAAAATGAGCGCACCATACCCCTCCAGCCCACTCTACCAGCACTCTTACAGTAGAGAAGACGCCATGAATGCTTTTCTTGCATGCGATCAAGTCCTTGTCTTTCTCTTCATATAAGTGTGTCCTCCCTTTCTCCTATTAGCACTTCAAAAAGATAAAGATGTCTATGGTGGTTGTGTTTACAATTTTGTGAGTGCCGAGATACTGGTTTTCTGGTGTTTATCGGAAAACCAACGACAGTGTCACTGCCAAACAGGGATGGAAACGCTAAATAAAAATTCTCCGAGCGTTGGAACTGAAAACTCCTCCGAAATCAACGACGTCTCGCGAGTGCAACGGCCACTGACGCATTCAGCACGAACCCCAGCAGCCATTGCCGATGATAACAAAAGTGCCAACCCAACCGAAGATGACCACCAACCAACAGAACCACCAACCGACCTGAATGGCGATGATGATGAGAATTTTCAGTGACAGAGAAGTGGCTTTTGCGGCGATTGTGAGGCGAGCCGACAGGGAGACGACAACACCAGAAAGATGCTTGGCCCTGATGATCGAGCGAAGTAAAGGACCACATGGACGGATGTCCAATGGTTGGTGGCCAAAAATAACAGTCAAGTATAATCGGAAGCATAACCAGAATGTAACGGCAACAACGATGAAAAACAAGCATACCCAGTGCAAAAATCAACAACAGCCTACCCAATCGGGCAGTGGTCAGGTGGCCGAAGAAAGAATGGCCGTTGCCAGCGACCATAACAAACAGCCAACTTTACACCAATATAAAGAATCTGCTGGCCAGTAACATTGAGCTGGCCCTTAATCACCAAACTGACCGAAAGAGAACAAGAAAAGTATACAGACAGGAAGTAAACTATCATGGTCATCGGGATCGAGCTGGAAAAGAAGGTGAATATTCTAGCAGAGCTGAGTGACTTGATCTGTGCTTGCCAGCTGTTATATGAAGAGGTGACAAAAGGAAGTTGAACTGGAAGGAGGCCATTAAAATAAAGATGAAGGAGCTTAGTCAACCGCTGCAAATTGTCACCGGTCAAACAGAACAAGGCTCGCTCGAGAGCATTAAAACGAATTTGCAAAGCCAACCAGTACCGCTCTAACAACAAGGACCAGATCGAAGAGGAAAGGGCAGACTTTCACAAAAAACCGGTCACAGCGGCAAACCGGATTGAGTATCGGAAAACGAACAAGCTGTTCGAGCTCAATCGGTCTGCCTTCTACCGGAAACTTGACGAAGACCTGAAGGAGATGGACGAGAACATTGATGTTGATCAGGTGATTACTTTCTGGCGAGGAATCTGGGCAACCGATGACGAAGAAGGGGAGCACCAGGAATTGATTGACCTATTGGACCCAGGGGAGGTGTTTATGACTGCGGTGTACATGACTGGACGGAGGAGCCTGCTGGCAGGAATGAGGGAACCGCACCTGAGTAGCAAGCAAAGAGCACAGCCAGCATCAGTCCTACCGTTCACTTCTACACACGACTGTCATTCGTTCAGGGAAATGCCTTACGCTTCGAGGCACTCGTCCCCTGCGGTGTACCTGGCTGGAAGAAGGAGCCTGCTGCCAGGGATGAGGGAACCGCAACTGAGTAGCGAGCAAACAGCACAGCCAGCATCAGTCCTGTCGTTCACTTCTACACATGGCTGTCATTCAATCAGGGAAATGCCTTACCCTTCGAGGCACTCGTCCCCTGCGGTGTACATGACTGGACGGAGGAGCCTGCTGCCAGGAATGTGGGAACCGCACCTGAGTAGCGAGCAAATAGCACAGCCAGCATCAGTCCTACTGTTCACTTCTACACACGACTGTCATTCGTTCAGGGAAATGATTTACCCTTCGAGGCACTCGTCCCCTGCGGTGTCCTGGCTGGAAGAAGGAGCCTGCTGCCAGGGATGAGGGAACCGCACCTGAGTAGCGAGCAAAGAGCACAGCCAGCATCAGTCCTGTCGTTCACTTCCACACATGGCTGTCATTCTATCAGGGAAACGTCTCACCCTTTGAGGCAGTCGTCCCCTGCGGTGTACATCGCTGGACGGAGGAGCCTGCTGCCAGGAATGAGGGAACCGCTCCTGAGTATCGAGCAAAGAGAACAGCCAGCGTCAGTCCTGTCGTTCACTTCTACACACGGCTGTCATTTGTACTTTTATAAGGAATGCTCATAGTTGTGGAGGGAGCTGCTCCCTCCAAGGGCATAAAGCTCTTATATGTTCTGTGTGTAATTTCATGCAAAAGCAATATTGCACCCTTTGGCATTGACTTACTTTGTTTAAGCACAGCGCGCTGAGCAACAGTTCTTATTTGGATGGAGCCTGCCTTGTTCGATTTTTGTACCGAGACTTGCAGTGAACCTGTAAATTTTGTAGGCACGAAATGAAACCCCACAATATGGTGCATGCAGCGGACATTTGTATGGCGGAGTAGTCAATGGTCACAGAAATGCATTTGTCTTGAGAGGGACCAATAGAGACAAAAAGAAAGAAATTGTTGTCGTCCTGCCACCAATACACCCACCTCACCAAGCGTTCGGCGCATGCATGAAGCCGCCATAAATTTAGTTCACAATAGGTAGACGGTGGTGCCCGAAACGACTTGTGCTGTCTCACGCGCAGAGTTCCAGTGTTTAGGGCACGTGCAGAAAGACTGAAGTTCCCTCAATGCATTGCGACAGCAATGGCGCGTAGTCAAACTGGCTGGTGAGATCGGTCTATGGCATGAATTCCGTATACGCCTCACCCCACTGGTGTTAAGGATGGTTTTGACCTAACATAGTGCGACACTGTTAATGCAAACAAGGTATGAAAAATGTTCATATGGGGCACAAAGTTGCACCCTATTATTTGGTGCCAGCATTTACTAATTCAAAGTAAAATGCAAAGAGTGCCGCAGTTGTACTCGCACTAACAATGTCATGCAGCATTTGTGTCTGGCCATCATGTTACTCAGCAACTGCAGCATCCGCATTGGGCACAAACTCCCAGTCGCAGCTTTGCATCTCGCTGGAGTGGGCGGCTGTGAGTATGGGCAAGGCTCGTGCTGAAGCCGAGAATTTCATCAGCAGGCAGTTAAATTCCACTCGCGCTGTTCATTACAGCGGGGACCAGGGGCGGATTTAGAGGGGGGGGGGGGGGGGGGGTCCGGATGGTCTGACCCCTCTCTTGATTTTTGCATGTGTAAAATTTAGGACGTAAAACGAGGGGGAGGGGGTTCCTAAACGCATGGTGCGCTGACCAACACCTGACCCCCCCCCCCCCCCCCCCCTCTCAGGGAATGTTTGCATCCGCCCCTGGCAGGGATGCATGTATGGTGCGAATCAACACTTACACAGAAGAGCATGCTGACATAAATTCCAATACTTTTTTATGATGTCCTGGGTACATACTGCACATATACGCATGACAGGATAGTCAATTGTTGCAGGAATGCCCAAGAAAGCACATACAACATTTCAGATGGGCAAATACAGGCCGAAAAAGAAGGCAGTTAGGAATTAGCCCAGAGTATGCCTGGCACACGCTCGAGTTAAGGATGATTGTGACTGCATGTCGCTGCGTGTTCCCGGCTACTAAATGCTCGAATTGCGTGTGACTCACCAACTGGAGGACCCACCTGAGGCACAGACTCCTGGTCGCAGTTTTGCACTTTGCTGGATTGCGCCTCTGTGTGCGTGGGCAAGGCTTGTGCTGAAATTGTAAACTTTGTCAGTATGCAGTTCAATGCTACTTGCACTAATTCATCACCTTGGACAAGCATATTCTCAATAATCTGTGAAGGAGAAAATACGACACCTGCGAGAGCAGCAGTTGAATCCAGAGATGGAAGCGTCTGGATGCTGTCTTCCCCCTGCATTGGCTCCCCTGCTTAAAATAGGTAGCATTTTAATACCAAATCTAGGAACCAAGTGACTGCAAATTCACCATCTCTGACTGTGTCAACTTACCTTGGATGTTTCCCATTTCCCTTTCTCGCGGTGGTCTTCGAACTGGCTTTGACAGCGTCTGGTTTAAGTTTTTTGATGCCATGGCTCTGCCAGATCCGAGGTTCAAACTGATCTGGTGTAAAATGGTCCTGTCGAGAATGAACAGGGCTAACTTGTAATTCACGGGACATTGCACTGAGAACACTAAAGAATTCGACTTTGTTTGGAGGTAGAGAGCGTCACACTGTTAGTACAGAAGAGCGATCGCCGCTTTTTTCTCTATCGGAATCAAAAATTCGTCATCAAAACTGCTAGTGCGGTGGGAAGGGCTAATTTGGGACGCTAACCTAAGCGGTAAAATTTGGTGCAAATCAACACACCATGGAAGTAAAATACGTAGAGACACCGATGCTCTGTTCGCGCTAACAGTGCCGCGCATTGTACGCCCTCCCCGCGCGCGGACAGTATGAGCTGGAACACCCAATCCAACCTTTTTCTGCGACTCCCACAAGCTCCATTGTTCCTCAACTTCGCTTTCTATTCCTAGTTCGGACCACAGCTCTCTCAAAAACAGGTGGTAAGCCAAAGAAGCATGAAAGGCGTTTTCGGCTCATATTGGTCCTCGGTAGTAGCTTTTCGTGTTTCCTAGAGGTTCACTGCGAGACACTCACTGCTGAAGCGGCCAGTCGGCGGCTTCATCCATTCATATCGTGTACCTTAAAAACTCAGACTACGCGAAAAACTTTGCCGACGAACAACCGGGTTTTCGAGTGAAAAACAACAGGCTAAAACGGCAGAGCACCGAGACCGCATTTCTGCTGAGACCGAGTTCGGCAGTCAGGCACGTCAGGAAAAACATTGCATGTGTACCTATGTGAACGTGTGTGGAAGAGGTAACTATAGCCCAGAAATGCTCACCTCACAAAGCTTGCTGCTTCTGGTAGGGACGAAGTTTTTCCTCCCAATCATGTGGAGCCATGCCTTCTGCCTCTTCAGAACGGCTGTCCGAAGCGGAACGGCGAACAACTTTTTTCCACTACCAGAACTCTGGCTGCACCCCGTCATCTAACACAAACGCTTACTACTTGACTTGCCTCATTACGGTCCAGAAACACCAGGACGTCGAGCTAAAGTCGTCGGCGAGTATCACGAAACACGCGAGCGGACGGAGCAGCCGAGCAGCTTGGAAGCAAATGGCGGACGGAAGTGGCGACGATTCCGGAAATCACGTGACATCGCTCTCCTCCAATAGAAATAGATGTCGGCGCGGCAAAGAATGACGGTACTTGTAAAACGCAGTGAAAAAACATCGAGGGACTTTATGCGAAACGACCTGCCCGCGCGTCGCGTGTCCTGTTTCTCGCTCCCTTCCGAACGTCACAAGACCACGTGGTTCGACGTGACGTGGCCATGACTCTGACGACCCGAGACCAATGTTGCCTGACGCAACCGAAGTTTCGGTTTCCGTATCAGCTGATGTTTAAATCAGGATTACACAAATAATATTCCACATTTCGCGAATCCGAAGACGTAGAGTTGTTTAGTAGTGGTCTTTGAATTTGAATCACATATAAGCCTAAATTTTTCGGAATTGAGCGGAGTTGGCCTTTAACGCTCCCTGTAAATGAGTCATCTAATTTACGCCATGGAGCTCGTTAGATGACACGGTGTTTCATGTCTGTACAAACGATCGCACTACTGATTTCTTGTGTTGCACTGGGTGATGGGACAAAACATAAAAAAAAATTGTCTGTTTCCCATGTTTTGCGGTACACACCCGTTTCAATCCTGTGGTTCGGTTCGCGTGTCCTCATTACAGATACATCTAGGAAGGGCAACTTCCCCTGCTTTTCTGCCTCGCAAGAAAACTGTATCGCGGGGTGAACACTGTTTAACTCCTGGTGAAAATCATTAGCATGACTTTACCTAAAATGACGAAAGTGTCACCCACATATCGGGGTAAAATTTGACCGGGAACAGAAATTTTGTCAGCAGTTTCTCCTCAATATGCTTCATAACAAGATTGGCAACACTGACAGATACCGGGCTCCCCATTGGACACCCGTTCACTTGATGATACGTTTCCCCACGGGAGGCGAAAAAACATTGGTTTAAGCAAAAACGCAAAAGTAAAATTATATCATCAACGTGAAGTGACGTGCGTGCTCCTAGGCTTTGATCATCAAGCAGACGCTTGCGTTCGACATCGGTGGCAACATTGTTAGGAACATTAGTGAAAAGGGAAACTACATCAAAAGAAAACATGCCATCATTCGGAAGGAGGGTTTGGGCGCGGACTAACTGAACGAATTCTTGCGAATTCTGCGCACAAAAACCATTTTTGCCTGTCACCGGTGCCAGTAGCTCTACCCAATATTTTGAGAGGTCGTACGTGGGGCTGCCGATAAAGAATACAATCGGGCGCAGATGACATTCTGGTTTGTGCACTTTAGGTAGGCCGTACATTTTAGGTGTGCATCCGTCGGAGGAAAAAAGGCGGCGATACAGAGAATCACTCATCCTACCCTTCTTTAGAAGTTCCCGGAGATGATCAACTAACGAACGTTCGGTTTTCCCAGTTGGGTCGCGGGCTAGTTTGACAAAGTGTGCGGGATTACTAAGAACGTTATACATTTTCTGGTCGTAGTCGGTCCTGTCGAGAACCACCGTTCCCCCACCCTTATCAGCACGTACAATAACGATCGACTCATCAGCTCTCAACTCCTGCAACGCCTTGCGTTCATGCTGGTCCAGCTTTGGCTGCGGCGGCTTGGCATTGTTCAAAATGGACAGCACCCGACTTCGGGTAAGGTTGACGCCAGTCTCGCTAGATATGTAGCGGAGTTTCTCCTCGATTTCGACAATGAAGTCACGCTTGAGGATGTATCGAGGTGCCATTGCGAGTTTGAGACCTTTTGAAAGAAGACTCACGTTATGGTCCTTCAATTCCTTGGAAGAGTAGTTGAACACAGTCCGTTTCTCGTTCTGGGAACTTGGTTCCAGGGGCATTAACCGGTCGAGCTTCTTCTTGTGCATTTCTGACTGCTTGTTCTTTTCCATGTCCTCGGCCTGTTTCCGCGCGACGAAAATTCTGTGGAGGTGATCATACTGCAGCACGTGTCGAAGGTTCCGTTCCGCCGTCGCCAGTGGTTTTTTGGCGTAGTTGATCAGTTGCTTGTTATCCTGAACGCGGGTCTTGACACAGTTCAGGCTGAAATCTCGAGCGAGCTTGCGTCCGTAGCGGGTATCCTCGAGCGGCTTGCAACGCAGCCCTTGAGGAATGAGGCCACGTGGAATGCATTGACGGTTGAAGTCCTGGGGGCAATCCAGTCGTACGATAGTCGTTGACAAGTTCAGGTATTCCCTCACATTGCTGAGGGCCACAGAACCGTAAACGTTACAGATAAATGCAAAAATACTCCAAAAGCCGGGAGACGGATGACACTTTCGTCATTTTAGATAAAAGTCATGCTAATGATTTTCACCGGGAGTTAAACAGTGTTCACCCCGCGATACAGTTTTCTTGCGAGGCAGAACAGCAGGGCAAGTTGCCCTTCCTAGATGTATCTGTAATGAGGACAGGCGAACCGAACCACAGGATTGAAACGGGTGTGTACCGGAAACCATGTGAAACAGATCCTTTTTGGATTTTTTCTCCCATCACCCAGTGCAACTCAAGAAATCAGTAGTGCGATCGTTTGTACAGAGATCAAATGCAGTGTCATCTAACGAGCTCCATGGCGCGAATGAGATGACTCATTTACAGGGAGCTTTAATGAAAAGTCACTACCCAAAGCGTTTTGTTGACGAGGTATAAAACCAAATAAAACAAAATGTGCAACCGTGCGAAAGGGAAAGAGATAAGAATGTAGTGTACATCCCCTATGTCAAAAGAGTCTTGAACCTCTAAGTCGCGCTTTGAGGCCCCTTGGCATTCGACCTGTTTTCAAGGCATACAGAACTATTGGAAATTTCGTTTCCAAACCAAAGGACCCAACCCCGGCGAACGTCCAAAGAGGGGTTATCTACAAGATCCCCTGCAGTGACTGCCAAGCGTCCTACATTGGTGAAACTAGGGAGCCTTCATGTGCGCTTTGCTAGGGTGATGCCACCCTTTGTAATACCACTCGCCGACAAACCAGCAGCCGTTTTGGTCCTCGCCCTATTGAAAATCGCTCTAGGGGACTTCAGGAATTCTTTAAAGAATGTGAAGTGTACTTCAGGAATTCTTGTGATGTTTGAAGGGTGCACCGATATTTCCTGGTGGGTTCGTTGGCCCTGTCAGAGGCTCTCCTGAAATGTCTGAAGTCCCCTTTATAATGCCTTGAAATGTCTGAAAGCCTGTCAAGAACTTTTCTAATGGGGTTGGGAAAATCTTCAGGCTTCTTGAGATGTCTGTGGGGCCACGGCCTAGGTGGAGAATACACATTTCGCAGAATTTGAACATAGCTACGTATTTTTTGCAAAGGGAAAAACAAATAATTATTCGGAGAATGTCGATCGTATGTGTGTGCGGCCAGTATTTTATTACTGCTCTTCTATCAAACACAACTGGGCTCCTCGACCCGTCTGTCACTGGCCGGGTGTTCGGTCGCCAAGGGGGCTACGGGTTCGATCGCCCCATGTGGAGAATTGACAAGGCGCGGGCCGAGTGTTGTTGGCCGAGCGGCGTTTTCAGGCGAACAAGCTTTAGTCCCCTAGAGCGATTTTCAATAGGGCGAGGACCAAAACGGCTGCTGGTTTGTCGGCGAGTGGTATTACAAAGGGTGGCATCACCCTAGCAAAGCGCACATGAAGGCTCCCTAGTTTCACCAATGTAGGACGCTGGGCAGTCACTGCAGGGGATCTTGTAGATAACCCCTCTTTGGACGTTCGCCGGGGTTGGGTCCTTTGGTTTTGAAACGAAATTTCCAATAGTTCTGTATGCCTTGAAAACAGGTTGAATGCCAAGGGGCCTCAAAGCGCGACTTAGAGGTTCAAGAGTGAAAAAATGGGTGAGCTTTTGTCCGGTGAGCTTTTGTCCGGAATCCCGGACAAAATCTCACCGGTGTTAACGGCCGCTGTCCCGTTTTGTTCCTTGCGCCTCTTCGTCCGACCGGCTTCAGAAGCATCCAGCGAGCGAAAAATAAGCCGAAGACGCCGCCCGACGACATCATGGACGAAATCGTGACTGCTCGGAATTTCTCAACGGTGACGGGATCTGCTTGCGAGTTCGTGGTTTTCGCTAGACGTGCTTGCTTACTGAGACTGTGTATGTGTACGTGAGGTGCAATTGCTCGGTTTTATTAGCTGAACTATCGTACATCAGGAGTTTACCCAACGGCATTGTGAGTACTTTGAAAGATATTTTTTTTTGTGATAAAGAAGTCAGTTGTTCCTATTTGATATGATCTCTTTCGTCAACAGCGGCTTGCGTCCGGGTTTGAACAAGCGTTGGTTTTTATCGTCTTTTTGAGTTTTAATACGCATGTAAAACTCAATGTCCGCAATAAATTTTCAAAACCCTTTTGAACTGAATTTCTGTCCATGGTTGACAGTCATTTGGGCGTCTAAAAATTTGATGGGCTAAGGGGTTTGGGTTGAAGGGCTGTGGGGCTGGAGCGTTTTTTTAGGGGTATACCTAAAGGGTATTTTTGAAGGGTTTTGAAGGCCTGTGAGGTCCCATATTCCTTCAAGGCTGATGGGCCCTTTAGAATTATTTTCAATAGGGCGGCGATAATCCGTGGGCTTACAACCCTCCCCGAAACAAGCACCTTATCTCACAAGTTCGGAGCAGCGTTGTGGAACCCAGGGAGGGAGGATTAGCATTTTCCCCCTCGGATGGGAAGACCGATGG